TGCTTCGCCTTATAATTGTCTAACCGATTTGTTAAAGTGTTGTTGTAGAAATTTTTATTAGGCTATTCACCCCCCTCTAGCCATTAGGACCTTTCAAGTGGTATCAGAGCCGAGATCACCGTGATTTGAGGCTTAACAACCTTCGGTGTAAAAATGGCTCAAATCAACAACACCAAGAAGCCACCCCAATTTGATGGCACAAATTATCCATATTGGAAATCAAAGATGACCACACATATCAAGTCAATCAATAGAAGAGTATGGAAGGTGGTTGAAACCAAAATTGAGATTGAAGATCCAGAGAATCTCACCGCAGCCGAAGAAGTGCTTCTCCAAAACAATGACATTGCTCTAAGTGCCATTCATGATGCAATTGATGAGAGAACATTTGAGTAAATCAAGAATATTGAGATGGCTCATGAGGATTGGAAGAAGTTGGAAGAATCATTTGATGGCACTCAAGCCGTGAAGGGTGCAAAGGCATATATTCTCAAAGAGAAGTTTGCAAGCTTCAAGATGAAGGAGGATGAGAGTGTGCCGGAGATGTTCCATAGGCTTCAATTGCTTGTCAATGATCTCAAAGCACTTGGAGAAGAGGTGAAGGACAAGGACTTCTTCCACAAGTTCTTGAGATGTTTGCCTTCAAGATTTGGTATATTGGTCACTATTCTAGTGAGGAGTGGTTTGGACACCATGACACCAAACCAAGTGTTGGAAGACATAATGACCGATAATATATATAGAGATGATGATGAGAAGGAAGAAAAGAAGGAGAAGAAAGATGAGAAGAAGAAGAGGGTGGCATTCAAGGCCACATCATCCAAGGGCAAGGCAAAGCAAGAAACATCAAGTGAAGATGATAGTTCATTTGATGAGATGGATGATGAGAAGATGTCTCTCTTTGTCAAGAAATTTAGCAAGTTTATGATGAAGAAAGGGTATCGTGCTAGAAGAAAAAAATCTTCATCCAAGAACAAGGAAGAGTCAAGAAGGTACTTCAAATATGGAAGTAAAGATTATCTTATTGCTCAATGTCCATACAATAGCGACAATGATGATGACAACAAGAAGAACAAGAAGAAGGACAAGAAGGAAAAGAAAGAGAAGAAGGGCACCTTGGTTTGGTCACTGGTTAGTCATCGTTGCTCACCCACTACCCCTACTGCCTTGTTGTTGCTGCGGCTCACCTGAACGTCGTCGCCATTGCCGCAGGGTGCCTGCCGTCGTGGAGAAGTCCTTCTACGGCGTCCCAGCTCGTGCAACCGCTGCCCTTCACCTTGCGTTGACCTCTTGGTGAGATTTAGCCTCTTAGCTAGGTCAGCATGGGTCCTGGGTGGCCGGCGCTGTCACCAGTGCCACCGCTCGCCACGTCGGAGCGCGCGGGGGAGGCTAGGGACCAGGCCATTGTAAAGAGGAGAGAGTACAAGGGCCTTTGTGCATAAATGTTGTCTTTAGGAATAGTAGCGTGGACCCAGGTTGTTTGTCCAAAAGCCAAGGGCTTTTCTGCAAAAACGTCAGCGTGCCTGCGGGCTCCCCGCATGGGCCGTCTTCACACACGGGCCAAGCCCGAGTTAGGCCGCGTTGGGCCGTTTTGGTCTTTTTTTTTTTTCTAGCCAAATTAGTAAGCTTTTCTATTTCAATTCTGAATTAGATTTGCATATTTAATATAAATTCGTACGAATGTCCAAAAATCATGAAACCAATTTGTTAGGTTTCTAAAAATGTGATCTATCTGTTGGTGTGATTAGTTTATGCCTATCTGTGATGATGCTGAGATATATTAAATTAATTGAAAGCATTTAAAATTATTATGATAATATTTATAGGAATTATTGTGGCAAATCCGTGATAGCTTTAACTCTGAAATTTCTATAGTAGCTTCATGGCATTATTAGGTGCTTGCTGTAATTTTTGTAGCCCTAAAATAGACTATTTAATATAATAGCTAAATACCGATTAAGGTCAATTGAATAATGGCACGATATTGGTTTATAAAATTTAAGAACTTGTAGGGTGAACTTAGAATCTATTTGGTAGAGATAATGATTAGCTTAGTATCTTAGTATTTAGAGCTAGCTTAGTAGCTTAGCATGTGTACTTATATTTTAAGAGTTGTTGTTGCCAAAATACTAAGAGCTGCATCATAATAAAATGGTGATTATTATTATTACTCTCATGATAAGAATTGTTACTCACAATAGGTGATTATTATTATTACTCTCATGATAAAATGATGAAAGAAAATGGAGACTGGACAGAGATATGGTATGGATATTGGTGGGTGTAATAGGTTGTCTCGTGACCAACGGGGCATAACTTGGTTACATTGTTTTTCCTGTCCGTGTCAGTTAAGGACTGTCTGTTGCTGTGGATTCTAGTCAGATCATAGACTTATTATCCTAAGCACATACTTGCTTATGGGAGCGGGAATACTCGTTGCTCTTTTGTCGTGGATTCCGACTCTTTCCGGACCGACTGATTGGAGGTGGGCATGGTGGAGGTCTAAGCACCACACTGAGTCCGGGACTCAGGAGTGGGGGCTTGGAGTCCAAATTTGGACGGGGACCTAGACCCCTTGACAGAAGAGTGGTGGGTCGGTCTTGCTTGTGCCTGAGGTACAAGCGGGGCGTATGTTTCGGGGTACCCAGCTGTAATACATTGGTTCACGAATCGCCGTGTGATACGGTAGGACTTAGCTATGATCTAGTACTGTAGTAAGAACTGAAAGATGAAAGTGGATGAATTGATCTGATTGGTCAACTCTTACTTGAAAGTAGAACATGTGCTTATATAGAATGGTTAGCTAATGAATTAATCATGACTGCTAATAAAATACATATATAAGGATTCACTAATAGTAATGCTTTTCGTAAAAAGAAAACACAGCAAAACATAAAGCTTATCGTATCATTTGGAGTCGGGAAATTATTTTTACTAATTGGGTAAGTCTTGCGAGTATATTGTGTACTCAGGGTTTATTTACCTCTGTTGTAGATGCAGCCTGAGGAGTGGCTGTTGTGTGAAGGATTCTTCTGGTGGGCACAGACGGATCATTATATCTTTTTGTTAGATGTTTATTTTAATTCCGCTGTTTAAATTCCGTACTCTGAATTTGGTATTGTAATAATGTATTTCTGAGAACTCTTGTTGTATGGAATGGACTAAGTATTATAAACTCGTACTCATTATTGGATCCTGGGTGAAAAACATGGATTGTTGGAGTTCTCCCTTAGGGGTGTGCTCGACGGAACTATTCGATGTAGCTAACTTTTAGGGTGTTTAGTGTCTAGTGAAAGACGAAGCCTCTCGAAAATATGTTATTTTAGACGGTTCTACCATAAATACCTAAGAGAAGCACTTTTAGAAGTACTGGATGGAACACCAGGACATCATGCCTTTAGTCCATCATGGCTGGACCGCACCAGCTCACACTACTGATGTAGCCAAGATCATTACCGCCAAGTTCAAGAATTTGAGGAAAGTGCTAAGAGAATGGCAAAGCAACTTTTCTTGCCTCAAAGTGCCCATAGCAAATGTCAAGTTGACCCTGTCCTTTCTGCTATATCTGGAAGAATTCAGAGACCTATCTGTTCGTGAATGGAACTTCAAAAAGCTCGTGGAACAGAAGCTAACCTCACTCCTCCATCAACAGCACATTTACTGGAGACAGAGAGGCTCCATCAAATGGGCTACCTTGGGAGATACTAGTACAAAATTCCTTCATGCTAATACTAAATTAAATTCAAGAGAAAGCTTATCGCCACCTTGGAAGATTCAGATGGCCAAATTGTAACAGCTCACCAGGCCAAGGCTGAACTTATTTGGTCTTAATTCTAGGAAAGGTTAGGTGTCTCTTCCTATCAGGGACTTACCTTCAATCTGCCTCACTTTGTTTAGGATGCCCAAGAGTTGTCCTTCACTGGTGGATCCTTTTCTTAAGGACGAGATTGACTTAGTAATTAAACACTTACCTTCAGACAAAGCTCCAGAGTCTGATGGCTTTCATACTGATTTCTTCGAGAAGTGTTGGCCTATCATTTGCAATGATTTTTATAACCTTTGTCATGCCTTCTATAATGGCAATGTCTGCCTTTAGAGTCTGAATGGTTCTCATATCACCCTAGTCCTTAAGCATGATAATGTTGTGCACGTGTCCGACTTCAGTCTATTCTCAACTCCTTTGCTGAATCCACAAGCCTTATGCAAAGTCAATGATGGTGCCAATTAATGTCTGTGATGAGCATTTTAATATTGTGGCAAATATTTTTGGTTGCTCAAAGGTGTCCCCACCTTTCACATATCTTGGCCTCCCCTGAGTATGACAAAGCCAACAGTGGCAGATTTTTGCCCTCTAGTTTCAAAATGTGAGAGAAGGCTGGTTACATGCTGTGTTGAGTTGGTTCTGCAGCTGAGCATAGGTCGGCTCAGTTGTGCGGGGAACCGAAAAGGAGTAAAGGATGCAATTCCATTCTCGCTTTCGAAACACAATTTCTAAACCAGGTGCGCACAGATTTCTAATGCACCTTGCCATAACAACACTGCAGTACCCCACCCAGAAAGGTTTATTCAGCATCGTTATTTAGGATATTCTGCTCTCAAACAACATTTGACACACCACTGCGCAGTGCAGTGCGTACTGCACCGGGATCCAGCCTGCCTCGGAATTTCCATCCGCGTCCGGCGTATGTAACCAGCCCACTCTGACACCTGCCGGGCTGCTTGTTGTTTCTGCGCCATGCGGCAACCAACGGCACACTCCGTCAGCGTCAGGGTCAAATGGGCACGTCGCGGAGGCGGCCGGAGTGACAGCTACGACGCGTCTCGTATCTTGCCGTTGTCCCGTTCGTCGCGCCAAATAGGCGCCTCGTCGCCTGCTTATATAAAGCTAGCCGTCGCGAGCTGAGCACTGGTGGATTCCTCGCTCCCTTCCTTCCTGCCTCGTGCCAAGCCCCCAAGCCTCAAGCTTGCGAGTGCGAGGCAGCGGGCGGGCGGCGGCAATAATGGCGCTGGAGAAGCTGCAGGTGCTGCACGCGCTGGACGTCGCGGAGACGCAGCGGTACCACGTCCGCGCGGTGGTCATCGCCGGCACGGGCTTCTTCGCCGACGCGTACGACCTCTTCTGCATCACCCTGGTGACCAAGCTCCTGGGCCGCATCTACTACCACGTCCCGGGGCGCGGGGAGCCCGGGAGGCTCCCGCCCAGGCTGGAGGCCGCCATCAGCGGCGTCACCTTCTGCGGCATGATCGTGGGGCAGCTCCTCTTCGGCTGGCTCGGCGACAAGGTCGGCCGCAAGAAGTTCTACGGCAAGACCATCATGCTCATGATCATGGGCTCCTTCCTGTCCGGCCTCTCCTTCGGCAACAGCGCCGGCGGCGTCATGGCCACGCTCTGCTTCTTCCGCTTCTGGCTCGGCGTCGGCATCGGCGGCGACTACCCGCTCTCCGCCACCATCATGTCCGAGTACGCCAACAAGCGCAACAGGGGCAGCTTCGTCGCCGCCGTCTTCGCCATGGAAGGCCTCGGCGTCCTCTCCGGCTGCATTGTCACGCTCGTCGTCTCGGCCACGTTCCAGGCGCGCTTCGGCGTGCCGGCGTACGAGGACGACCCCGCGGCCTCCACCCCGCCGCAGGCCGACTACGCGTGGCGGATCGTCCTCATGGTCGGCGCCATCCCGGCCTGCTTCACCTACCACTGGCGGATGCGCATGCCGGAGACGGCGCGCTACACGGCGCTGGTGGCCCGCGACGCCGACAAGGCCGCGCGCGACATGTCCAGGGTGCTGGAGGTGGACATCACGGGCGAGCCGGACAAGGTGGAGAGCATCACCAGGGACAGGGGAGATTACGGCGTCTTCTCCCGCCGCTTCGCGCGCCGCCACGGCGCGCACCTCGCCGGCGCCGTCGCCTGCTGGTTCGTGCTGGACGTCGTCTTCTACTCCCAGAATATCCTGCAGGAGAAGATCTTCAGCGACGTGAAGTGGGTCCCCAGGGCGCGCACCATGAGCGCCCTCGAGGAGACCTACCGCGTCGGCCGCGCGCACGCCATCATCGCGCTCTGCGGCACGCTGCCTGGCTACTGGTTCGCCATCGCCTTCGTCGACGTCGTCGGCCGCAAGGCCATCCAGTTCCTGGGCTTCGCCATGATGATGGGCTTCATGCTCGTCATCGCCGCCTTCTACGACAGCCTCATCAGCCCCGGGCGCCGGATATGGCTCGTGCTCATGTACACCTTCACCTTCTTCTTCGCCAACTTCGGGCCCAACAGCACCACCTTCATCCTGCCGGCGGAGATCTTCCCGGCGCACCTGCGCACGACGTGCCACGGGATATCGGCCGCGGCCGGGAAAGTCGGCGCTATCGTTGGGACGTTCGGGTTCATGTACGCCGGGCAGAAGGCGGACGGCAGCGAGGCGACGGAGACAGGGTACCCGTCGGGCATCGGCGTGCGCGCCTCCCTGTTCGTGCTCGCCGCGTCCAATGTGCTGGGAATACTCTTCACCTGCTTCCTACCGGAGCCGAAGGGGCTGTCGCTGGAGGAGGTGTCCGGCGAAGGCGGCGAGTCCACCAATAGAGGTGATGCTGATGACGTGGGAGACTCCCAGATTCTCCGGCTGTAGATGTTCATCTTCGTTACCGGCGCTCGTGGCTGAGGGGGCAATAGATTTAATTTGTGCTCATTATTTTGGGCGAAATCTAAACAACAATCTGTCTCCGACATCCATCAGATCATGGATCTGCCTGGGCTGTTGATTTCCGTCGTATCCAGGCAGTAGCGCAATGCCGCCATGGCCCGGATTTCCGTCGTATCACATTCTCGTGTGAGTCAGCGAGGTGTGAGACACTTTTTTGTTTCATAAAGCCTTTCCGAGTGGAATGATCAATGAGGACGATGAAGTGCACTGAGGATCTGGAACACTTATGATGAGCCACTTTTTATAGCTCCAACTTCTAATCTAAAAATAGTTTCGGTTTCTTTATTATTCACCAGAAAATAACTTTTCTTTTTAAAATGTCCAGTACGGCTCCTCCATAGAAATTGTTACCATAGCCAGAGCCCAAGCCATGCAAAAAAAAAAACCTAAAGCCCCATTTGACACGGCTCTACTTCACCGGTAAAGCCATTATTTTGCTTCGGCTTCACAAATAACTCTAGCGACGGAGCTAGAGCTGTTTTTATGAAGTGTTTGGCAAAACAACTCCACGCAATTGACAAAAAAAGAACGAAAAGATAAAATACCCATTATCTTCTTGTTCACTATCTTCTTCCCACCTGGTGAGCAACCACCGGCTTCCACCCACGATTGGCCCACATGCCCCTTTCCAGTGGCCACATGCCCCTACCCGACACTCGCGCCGCCCCTCCCGGTGGCTGCACGCACCTCCCGGCGACCGTGCGCCTCCCTCCTGATGGCCACGCTGCTCCTCTCGGCGACCGAACACACCTCCTCAGTGGGCGTGCCCCCTTGGCTAGGGAAAATCTATCATCCTCGCACGATGGGGACCATAGGCGTCAGCTGAAGTCGGGTGAAGCCAATATTTTAAGCTCGATTCCACCCTAAACTCATGAGAGCATGTTTCAAGGAGCTCCCTGGGTGAAGCTATTTTCGGTTTTCTCTCATTTGGCACAAAACGGCTCCAAACAGCTCCTGAGCAAGCGGAGAAGCTGCGCCAAATAAGGCCTAAATATAACATATATTGCTTATTGAAATTCGGAAATGCTCTAGGTAGGGCGTCCGTTTCATCCAGACGCACGTTGGTGGGCCTCGACGCCTGCCCGAGTGGCCCAACAGGCAACACTGCCATCCGCATGGACGCATCATCTTGCGTTGCTCAAGATAAAAAATCTCCGCTCTCACCTTCCTCTCGAGTCGCCGCTGCGCCCGCATCCATTGTTGAACCCACTCTCCGCGCCCGCATCGCCGCGGCATGCTCCACCACGACCGCGCTGTCGGGCCCGCACCGCTGCAGCGTGCTGCACCGTGCCCGAGCGTCGCTGCCCGCCTTCTTGTCTCCCCACCGCCATTCACCGCCGAGTTCTTCGAGCCGATGCGCGGTGTGGTCTAGGGTGACGGCTCTGGCACGACGTTCTTCACCGCGCCCAGCCGCTTGCCTGCCGCCATCCTCCCTCTCTATTGCACCTGAGGGTCGCTTGCTGGCTTCCGCAGTTGCCCACCAGGTAGGTCATGGCTGCCGACGATGCCATGTTTCAAGTGTTTTAGGTGGAAGTTGTTTTCAAGTGTTTCATCTGGATGTTGCGTATGTTGTAATAGCATATACGCATGTTGCAAGTATATGTTTCTAATGTTTTAGTTGTTTCAAACGTATGTTTCAAGTGTTTCATCTGGATGCTGCAGAAGTATATCTGGATGTTGCATAACATGCATGTTGCAAGCGTATGTTTCAAGTGTTTTATACGTATGTTGCAACTGTTTTATCCGGATGTTGCAAAACTAGATCTGGATGTTGTATGCGTTTGCAATGGTTTTTAAGTGTTTTCAGGTGTTTTGCAAGTGTTTCAGAAGTATGTTGCAAGTGTTTCAACTATTTTGGACATATAGTGCAAGTGTTTCAATTGGATGTTGTAAAAGTAGATATGGTGTTGCACTGGGACCACCTGTCGCAACCGCCTACTGCGGCTGCTGGGGCGTTGGAAAGCATACGAGGCATGAGCGATCCCCTCTTGTAAGCGTGTGGAAAGTGTACGAGGCATGAGCATCGAGCGGTCTCTGCGTGTTGTCGGTCGGGCGACGGCACGTGCCGTCCGGGTGGTGTGGGCCCCCATGTGGGCGCACCGGGGTGCAGGCGTGGGAAACGGGGTACGTGCACCGATGTCCGAACGTGGGCGCCCGTCCAGACATCCGGACACTAGCACTCACCTCTATGAACGCGCGCAAACCCCACCCCTATGAGTGCCTCTGGACAACTGAGTTGGTCCAGCAAATCTCGAGATTGACAAAGTCACCACAGGCGCCTTGTTGTCGATGGGTACATTGCCTACCATTGAAAGAATAGCGCCGTTAAATCCTAAAATAAATCCAGGAAAATACGAACACATGTGTCAACTATAAAGTCGGGTACTGGAATCCAGCCTCGAGGTAGAGTAGTGTCAGTGTTTTGAACCACCAGCTAGTAAATTTGTATCTGCGCATCTGGCCTGGATGGTGTGCTCGAAGGACACAAGGATTAACACTGGTTTGGGTGGAATGTCCCTACGTCTAGTCTGCTGCTGCTCGTGTTACTGGCACTAGTTTGTAGTAGGGGTTACAAACGGGCGAGAGAGGGAGAAAGTCCCAAGTCTCTGGTGAAAAGATCGAACGGAGTTGAGTCTTGTTGAGCTCGTTCAGCCATGTGCTCGTGCCTCTCCCCCCATGGGGCATCCTGCTTCCCCTTTTATAGATGAAGGGAAAGGCACAAGTTATAGAGAGGGAAAGAGAGAGAAGGAGAAAAGCGAGGGAGAAGAAGGCCTCAAGGGTCGCAGCGTCCCTCATCTCCTTTATGCGTGTCCCACTGGTCCTGTAGATGATGACAGGGATGGCTCCATGTCGCGGCCCTATTTGTCACTAGCGCTATACGCAGGCGTCGTCAGTCAGTCGCGGTGCTCTACCCGGTTTCGGTGGGCGGCATGGTCAACAGGTACTCCTATCAAAAGCCATATGGGGATTAGGCAGCATAGCGTCGGCATGCCTGACACTGTTGGCGATGTGAGTGTAACAATCCAGAAATCCACACACCAAAAATCACAACTACAAAATTTTTTCTTAAAACTCCCATGTGATGATGAGTGACATTGTAAGAGCCAACCCTAAGAGTTGCATTAGAAGTAACCCCACCTAAGTCAACACATAAGCATGGCATATCATTTGTTAATTATGATTATTAAATTTCCAACAAATAACATGTTGCATACAATGTTAACTTAAATTATGGTTTGGGTTTTCATTTGCTTTATGCTATGATTGACAATTCCATTTAAATAATAAATCATAAAGTTATTATTAAACAAAATTCCCTAAACTCCAATGAACAAGTTACCTCAGTTTTAAATTCGAATTCTAAACCAAATTTGAATTTAAACAATGGAAAGGAAATGAGAAATAGAAAGAAAAGAAGAAAGGGAGAAGAAGGCCTCATGACCCAAGCCGCCGGCCAAATTGACCCCAGCTTGCTGCATACGCGACGTGAGCCCAAGAAGCGAGCCCATGCTACATGCCGCCACAGCGCCCAGCCCCGCCAGCTGCCGCTGCTACTTGGGCCCACGCGCGTCGGCCAGCAGGCTGTTCATTCCCAGACGCCCTCTTCCCTCCAGAGTGATCATTGCCAGCCGGACCCGCCCGTCAGCCATCCCCTGCTCATCTTCCCCACGCCGCGCCCAACCGTCACCGATCGAGGAGGCCGACAACGAGTGCAGAGCGGGCCATGGGGTCACCTGAGCCATGGTCTTGCCCCCCCTTGGCGCGCACCACGCAACCCCTCCTGGCCATAGGATGCAAGCAAGCACCGCGATTGCCCTTGATCCCTGTCCGCCGATCACCGAGCTCCATGGCCGAGCTCGGCTATAAAGGCCACGGTCCTCAGAGCCCTAGCGCTCGTCCCGTTGCCCGCCGCCACCTCGGTGGCCATCCACCACGCACCCAAACCTAGAGAGAGAGAGAGAGAAGAGGAAGAAGGGGGAAAGAACGCCGAAGCCACCGTGGGGAGGAGATCGCCGAGGCGGGGCGGCGCCGCCGTCGGGCCACATCATCGACGATGGGTCGACAAGGCCTTTGCATGGCTTCCGGAGCTACATGGCCTCGAATTGACCTTTGCACCGCCATCCTATCTCCCACAACACCTACGGTGAGCCCTCCCGATCCCTCTCTGCCATCGAACCTCACCATCGGCCATGGCGCTCCACACCCGGGAGCGCGTAGGCCAGGGCCGTCTCCGGCCTCTGGGAACACCCGCACCCACGCGCACACCCGCGACCACGCCATGACCGCCCTACCGGAGCCCCCGTGGAGCACCCGCGCGTGCACGTCGCGCTCACGATGCCGCCGTTGTACTGTGCACCACCGCTGGCACACACGGCTGCCTCGCCGGACTAGAACGCAGCCGTAGAGGATCACCGTGACGCCTGGAGGTTAGCAGCGTAGACTGAGACCCCAGTAGCCGGCCACAGCGCCCTGACCACGAGCACCGAACCTCGGCCGGAGCTCCGCCGTGCACCGCCACCGCGGCTAGCCAACTGGAGCCATCCAGCCACTTTGCTAGCTTCACCAGGGCACCCGCCATGGTAAGGCCGAGCTGTTTCCCACCTTAGTTGAACACCCGCGCTGCTGGAAGGGGCTCGCCGACGAGCACCGCCACGGCGAGCCGCCGACCATCGTGGCCAAAACTGAAGGAAGCCCTGGCAATCACCTAGACCCCACCACCGTGTTCGCCGAGGCCTGGCCAAGCCTTTCCCCACCTCTATTGGTTGCCAGCACCGCTGGCAAGGCTCACCGGGCGCTCGCCGCCGACGGGAGTACACCGGGAGAGGAAGCAGGGGAAACTCCCCTCGCCGGCCACATGCCCATGCACCCGGTGCACGTTGACCACAGAGAGAGAGGAGAGGGATGGACTTGGTCCACCATGGACC